ACAAGCTAAAAAGCTTTAATACATAAATAATCACATAAAACTCTATTTCAGGGTATACAACATAAGTCACTACAGACAGCTTTAGTCCCCATTCTAAATCTCCATAATTTTAACAAGTGGAAAAAAAAACTTAGAAAACAAGTACCACTTAGAAAGCATTTCAGTATAAGCAGCTAAAATATTGTTTGTAATACAAATACGATCTCCTGTGAGTAAGTGGAAATTTCAATAAAACATCATGACATTCTGGAACTGGAAATTAAGATAGCTAATGCAAAGAGAGCAAGGACTCAGGCATTCCATAGGTAGGGTAGCAGCTGAAGGTTTAAACCTTTCCCTTAGGTCACAGGTCCCACCTACTGTGCATTTGAATAGTACGTTTCTCTCACCAAAGGGAACTTGCAGATTCATGAATCAGGCAACATGCAAAATAAAACAGGAAAAAAAGAGAGCAATTGAATATGAAGGTGTTGTCACACCCTCTTTACCCGATACTGGATGAGACAAAAACCAGAATAAATCAGACCATGACATTTTCGATAAGGGAATATGAAGGGAAGGAGTGGACCAAAGTGGGAGCCTAGGGAGGCAAAAGGGTAGAGAAAAATACATAAGGTTTGAGCTAAACAATCAGGAAAATGGAGAGCAGGTTCATCAAAGAAGCTACTAAGGAGAAAAAGCAAAACCCTACTCCTCATGCAAAACCCACTATTCAAATGTACAAAGAATGTAACCTATCACTTACCTCTTCATGAAAAGAGGGGCCAAGCAAACTTCAAAACAAAAAGGAACTTTAATTACAATAGAAAGTAGAATACTTTGGCTACAAATCAGTGGTATGCTGAACACATAAACAGCTAACATCATTAGGCGACCTGAACAACTGTTAAAACAAGTGTTCCTTATGTTAGTGAAAGCAGTTCACACTGAAAGTACATAAACACTAACTTCACAGGAGTTTTCTTCCTTTAGGGAGGGAGGGATAAATAGGGCAATCTGAGAGAACCAGGCTCCTTCACAGTTGAGTTTTTCAAAGTCACAGCTGAGATTTTCACATTCACACATTATGGGCAAAAGAAATCTTAAGTTCTTGTTAAAGTAGGAATCCCTTCAACAATATCTAATAGTCATATAAAATGGCATAAAAAAGAACCAATAATATTTTCTAGAAGAAAAGTATTTTCCTATTTAAAAAACTGTTAGAGTGGAATAGAAAATAGTTATAATTTAGTAATATAGCATAAAGTTAATCTCAAATGGTGAGAGGTGTAATTTGAATACATGATGCTTCTTAAACTCTACTTCAAACTTAGCATGCTTTTGGTAATCAAAATCAATGCTGATAGGCCTGTTAATTTAGTTTAGGACTAAAGGTGGCTATGTAGCCATAGAGAAACCATAAAAATACAGTAAGTGAAGAGATACCATACAGTACTTATAACATGAAGGATATCTTCTTTTATAAAAGGCCAAGTACAGCTAGAAAAATAGGTAGAAAAAAGAAAATCTTAATTACTGTGGAAACTGCCAATATCAGTCACAGAGGTTGTAGAAAAGTCCAACTTCACCAAATTCAAATTCCTTTTCAAGCATGTCAGTTCCTGGACAAGGTCTCCAGTGGATGAGCCCAAAAATAAAATAAATAGTAGACTGTCTCAGGCTTCTAGGATAAGAGGCCTGGATATGTTCAATTTTTTTACTATGTGAATGTGATTAAAGTTAAAACTTTGTTTTCTCATTTGTAAAACAATATTACTTACAACAGAGAAGGCCTAGACACTATCAATCCTGCTTTCTAGGTAAAAATGAAAACTGTATTTCCCAGCCTCCCTTGAACTTTGGCCTAAACTAGTAACAGGGCCCTATAAACCTATGTAATGTGGGCAGAAATAATACATCTTCTTCTAAGCTTGGCTCCTAGAATCTCCAGAAAGATCCACAGCCCCCTACCTCTCTTTATGTGCCAACTGGCTCAGCATCTAACAGAGGACTTGAAGATAGCAAAAGAAAGGGTGGTCCATAAGACAGTTTATAATCCCTAGGTCACCACTTGAAGTATAGCTGAATCCTTAAAATGCCATTTTGTGAAGGGTCTACCTGGAGAGCTGTCCAACCACTCTCTGATTCCCCCATTTGACCCTTACTCCTATCTGAGAAAAGTGAATGAGAAACTTTTATTCAATCCACACACTGAGATTTCTGAGGTCATAACATACTCCAAATACATCTCCATTCCTACTTAACTCAGAGTGTACAGATCCAAATGAAACAGTAGGAATAAATATTTTATCAGGATAAAGTTTTATAACATTGTATAGGTAATATCAATGGAATTAAACCAGACTGAAGACTACGCAGTCTTTTTTAAAAACTACAGATCTACAACAGTAACAGTAATATGTTATTTATCAAGAACCAGAAAACTAATTAATTTTTTCATACTAAAAATCACCAGGCTGCTAATTTATAAACAAAATTTGCTTATTCCTTCAAGGGATTTACTTTGTTAGGAAAAGGGCAGGTACTCATTAAATCAATAAAATAAAGAACCAGATGCCACTTCAAACCCTCCATTCCAAAAGAAAAAGAGGTCGATGAGATATGGACAAAAATTAAATTACAGAATACAAAAAGAAAAGCCATGTTAAAGAAAAATACAAATATTTATTTACAATTTGAAGATATTATACTATTAGAATAAATATTAAAATAATACAGAAGCCAAAATAGAAGTTTCTTCTGTTGTATGATTAATCTATGTGGTTAATACACACACAGAGTAATGCACATGTATTCACTTAAACAGTTCTACTAAATAGTTCTGTTCAATATAGTCACTCCCAAGCCATCCTACACTATTCATAATTTAAAAATTCCTCATAACCCCCTCATCTTAAATTCCTTCAAGCATTTTATAGATGATAAAGAATGAGATCTTCCTTTCTTCAACTCAGTAGCATGATATGGTTTAAAATGCAAACTGTTATTTCTAATCAGTAAGTGTATACATAAGCAATTAATAAGGGATTTTAGATTTTCTCAATATTAAAAGTTTCATATATCACAAAAGGTTTGTAAAACAATAATTATCCCAAAAGGGTAAAATCAATTATCTTATTCCATGGAGTTAGGAAACAACATTTAGCAATTTGGCTTCTTGACCTAAAAATTTTAGGATTAACAGCAAAGAAAGGTGGATGATATTAAAAACACAAAACAAATCAGGGGGAAATGTAACTACAGCAGAAAAGTAACTACTACTAGAAAATTCTGATGGGTACACTTAGAATCTGATTTGGAATTCAACAGAGCATTAATTAAACACTAAGTTTGATCTGTTTGCAAAAGCAAATCAAGAATATCTTCAAAAAATCAAGTTCATGATCATTTTTAAAGGTCGAACTCCCTCTCAAATTAGGGGTATATGTGTAGTTATGACACATACTTGTCAAAATGTGAAAATTTTGAAAATAACATAATTCTAATATTAACAAAGAGAAAAGAATCAGATTTATAATATTTTAGTTTTTACCTGTGAATGTTTTATAGAAGTAAGTGAAAAAATCAAGTTGTGTAAAAACATGGAAATTACCTAAAGACTTAAATGGGACAGCACTGCAAAAACTTTTGCAGCCAAAAGAGATCTAGAAGTCTCACTAGAGACTCCTCATCAACAGAACCTAGAATCGTGCAATTCTCAGTAGAAAATAAGCTACCTTAATGTATTTTATCTAGTTTATTAATTCAGATTCCATCTACTTAGAAGTAATAATAATTTGCTGAGCTGATGATGTTTACTCTTTCATGATCTGTATAGAAAAGGGTTTTCCTAAACAAAATCAGTAAACAAGATTATACAGGGTATAACCCTACACAGTTAAAAACTAGTTATAGATGATTGTATTTTTTTACTTATAAATAGCTGATAGGTGCTTGCAGCTTAGTCATTTATTTTGCTAATAAAATATATATTTTCAAATACCTGTTCTCTCACACTTTCCACACATATATCAGTGTTCAAAAAATTTTAAGCAGTCTGAATAGTTTTCTGTAGTTAAACAATGACATGGAAAAAGTATAAGAATATAGACAAAGAATATAAATAATTAAAACTACAAATAAATTCTATGGAGGAAATTTAAGCTTTGTGGCCAGCAGGGCCCTAAAATAAAGGCTATTATTTATCTTGCAGTATATGAAATCATTAGAAATGTAAGAGCTATCCCTTGATTTTTAATTTCAAAAGGTCTAAACAAAAGACATAGAAATCAGTAACAGAATTTGGTTATTTATTGGAGATGAGTAACTGGAATAAAACCATAGTCAGGGTATCAAGTCTATAACTTACCTTTCACAATTACACAGGGTTTTGGCATGTATTCCTGTGTGCAGTTTTCCTGCTTTTGCCTTGCGTTATCTCCTATATTTAACTTCTTTACTTTTTTTCCACTTTATTGTGTTACTGTACACACTTCAGCAAGGAAACTTAGCTGCTTTGTGAAGGAGTGGGGTAGTAGTAAACTTATAGTACAGTAGGCAAAAATTAAAATCCTTAGAGGTAACGTCACCCCCTCCTTGATAAAGTTTAAAATTATTTGCAGTAAAGTAAAAGAACCCTTTATTCATAGTTTAATAATAACTAGGTCATGTGAGTCATTTTTTCCAACAATTATGAAGATAGCTAAGCACTGCAATTCACAGTCTCATCCTTTTGTTGACCAACTTTTTAAAAAAGTAACCAGAAAAGTTATGCATTATTTTCAGTGGCCATGGACAAAAGAAGACAAGGAAGGGGAGGGGGGACTGAACTTTTAACCACGACTCGATTATCTTTGTGTTAAACAGATAAACCACAACACTGCAATAAGAAAGTTAAATTTTCCCCTGTCATATTTTTTGAAAATATTCATTAGCACTTAACTATCTAGGAAGTTGATCAGCCTGGTAAACAAAGTAGTGATTTGTAAATGCCAGTCACAATCACCCTATACTTGACTTACCTGCCATTACAGAGTAGCCATCGAGCAAGAGAATAGTGAGGTATAATCTTCTGCATGACACTGGCCATCACCATGGTAACGACCAGCTGTATACCTATTACACCCTGCATAAAAAAACAAGTTTAACAATAAATGAATTTAGATTTGAGGACACTGTTAGAAGCTTTCCATATATTTTGAAAATGAAATTTTACAAAAAAGGAGTTATTATTAAACTATTATTGCCATTTAGGCATTCAGGACCACTTATGTTTAAACTTAAAATATGCAATCTCATCTTATAATCCTCTACAAGTTACCCAAGAGTCACATCCATGTGAATAAAAGTTAAATGAACTAGCACACACATTCAAAAATCTATTCCTAAGAAATGTTATCCATTAGATAAGAGTATCAAAATGAAGTGAAAATTAGTGACTTTTTATCCTTCTCCAAATTTACTCTGTTCAACACACATAAAATACTAGCTTGGCAAGCGTTAAAAGCAATATGAGGTGGTAGTGAATGATTAAGGAGAGTATTAATTAGGGTGTGATATGGCAGAACTGGCCTGAAAAATCACTTTCTAAAAAATTTAATTCACGTTGCCATCACCAACCTTCCAGTGGGTGGACTTTCAACAATGTCCAAAATACACTTAGTAATGTCCTCATCAATCCATCTTCTGTTCCCCATGATAGCTAAAATTCAAACAGTCTCCTTTCTTCACACCTCCAACCTCCCTCAAACTTGTAATCCTCCCCTCAGCAGAGGACAGCCATTTCACAGAGAAAAGACACACCATCAAAATATGAACTCTTAGCTTCCACCAAGCTCACAATCACTTGTATGTATATACAACACTAGTCTCTTCCCACACCCTCTAGAAATAGAGCAGTTTTACACAAAGCAAATCCCTACTTCTGTGCTTCAGAGCCCGTTCTAACTAACCACTGAAGAGTTTCCTTCCTACATCATACTTAATCTCTTATGCATTTAAATCCTTCCTATCAGCACTGCAACACCTCTAAATCTATTTTTCTAAAAACAAAACAAAACACACACACACACACACACACACACTAATTTTCCCTTACTCTACAGCCCTCCTCATATTGAGTCACTTTTCAACACTTATTCTTATTTCTATTTTCTCATACCCCCACACAGTTCTGATTTGACTTCTGCTTCAGCCTATTCTACTGAAACAACTACCATCAAAATCACTTCTTCTTGCCAAATTATATTTCCTTATTTTACATCTCAGCAGTTTTCCACAAGGTCTACCACAACCACTGCTTTACTCCCCGCCATTGATCAATTCTTTATACTCCTCTGGTGGCTCCTCTATCCCAGCAGTCCAAAAATAAGGCTGAATTCCAACCTCAAACCTAATTTACAAAACAAGTACATAAAAAATATAAAATGTTTGAAAGGAAGTAGTATAGCATATTGATTTAAGAGCATAAATTCTGAACCCAAACTACCTGGTATAGAATCCACCATCCACTAGTTGTGACTTTGAACAGGTAATTTAAACATTTTGATTCTTGTAAGTGCCCTGGATGGGGATTGAACCCACAACCCTGGCCTGTAGGGATGACTCTCCAACCAACTGAATTACCTAGTCTGGGTAGTTCAAATGGAAGTTCAAAAATTTAAACATTTTGTACTTCCATTTCCTCTTCTACAAAATGAAGCTTAAAATTCAACTACCTTATCAAGTATGGTTAGGAACTGTGCCTGGCACAGAGTAAGAAGTCAATGGGTTAGTATTATTTGTTGTTATTGCTATGGTTATCACTATTTTTATAGAAAAACATTTGTTTTTAATATAAAGAATAAAAGTCTTTTTTTTCTAAAGATGTTATTTGTTTTTAGAGAGAGGGTAAGGGAAAGAGAACAAGAGAGACAGAAACATCAATGTGTGGTTGTTTCTTGCATGTCCTCCACTGGGGACCAAGCCTACAACCCAGGCATGTGCACTGACTGGGAAGTGGACCAGCCACTCTTTGGTTCTCAGGCCTGCGCTCAATCCACTGAGCTACACTAGACAGGAAGAATAAAAGTCTTTAAAAAATATCAGTCTATGAGACAAATAAGTTGAAAAAAATCAAACTGCATTGATTGTAACAAACTGTTTGACCAGTTATCATTATAACAAATGTACTACTACTGTGGTGGAGGATATCCACCCTGGGGAAGGCTTTGCACATGTAAGGACAGGGATACACATATAAGAACTCCCTCTATTTTCCTATTCATTTTGCTGTAAACCTAAAACTGCTCTAAAAAATAAACTCTATTAATTAAAAAAAATTTTTTTCTACAGAGAAACAATATAAACAATGTCAAAGACCAACTGGGAAAAAGCATTTGTAACTCACATCACAAATGGATATTTTACTTATTAGATATTACAGAGTTCTCATAAACTAATTAGCAAAAGACCAAATGCCTAATTAAAAAGGAACAAATATGTACAGAGAGTTGTCAAAAGCAAAAACAAAAACTAACGAGAAAAATTATAAATGGCTCTGAAACAGGCTGTTTATAAAATGTCTTTGAAACCTAACTCAACTATGGTTTTACTGTAAATACTTTAATGCCTTAAGTTTTACCAATTGGGTTACAGCTTAGACCACTTTTATATTCACCTAACATCAAAGGTTACATTTTCATACTTTCTTCTTTCACATTTTCTATCATTCGAATTTACTATCCCACTATTTTATGCTGAGAAGATAACATTCATTTACATATTTTTAATACTATAGTGAGCTATTCATTTTTATTGAACTTACTGGGATGGTATTGGCTAATAAAATTATACAGGTTTCAGGTGTACAATTCCATAATACATCAACTATATATTGTATTATGTTCATCACCCCAGGTCAAGTCTCCTTCCACACCATATATCCCCTCTAAACCTTCTTCTACAACCACCTTCTCCCCTTCTCCTCTGGTAATCACCATGCTGTTGTCCATGTCTGTGAGTTCTTTTGTTTTGTTTTGTTTTGTTTTGCTTTTTGCTTCACCTCTTCACCTTTTTCACCCTGCACCACTATCGCCCCCCGGGGATAGCTGTCAGTCTGTTCTATATCAATGAGTCTGTTTCCATTTTGTTAGTTACTTTATTAGATTCCACAAAAGTGAAATCATATGGTCCTTGTCTTTCTCTGTCTTATTTCACTTAGCATAATGCTCTCCAGGTCCATCCAAGCTGTTGTTGCAAAGGGTAAGATTTCCATCTTTTTTATGGCAGGATAGTATTTCACTGAGTGAATGTACCACTGTGTTTTTAACCATTCATTTTCTGATGGACACTTGTGCTGCTTCCAAATCTTGGCTATTGTTAACACTGCAATGTACGTAGGGGTGCATATATTATATTCTTTTGAATTAGTGTTTCAGATTTCTTCAGATATATTCCCAGAAGTGGAACTGCTAGCTCATAATGTAGATCCATTGTTAATTTTCTGAGGTAACTCCATACTGCTTTCCCCAGTGGCTGTACCAATGTTCATTCCCACCAATAGTGCACAAGGGTTCCATTTTCTTTCATTGTTCCTTGATATATTGATGATAGCCATTCTGACTGGTGGGAAGTAATATCCCATTGTGGTTTTAATTTGCGTTTCTCTGATGACTAGTGATGTTGAGTGTCTTTTCACATGTGTATTGGCCATCTGTATGTCCTGTTTGGAGATGTCTGTTCAGGTCCTTTGGACATTTTTTTATAATTGGATTGTCTCTTTGGTGTTGAGTTTTATAAGTTCTTTATAAATTTTAGATATTAACCCCTTATCAAATATATCATTGGTAGATATGTTCTCCCATTCAGTGGGTTCCCTTTTCATTTTGTTAGTGGTTTCTTTTGCTGTGCAAAAACTTTTTAGTTTGATATAATTCCATTTATTTATTTTTTCTTTTGTTTCCCTATCTGAAGTGATAGATCAGAAAAAAATATTGCTACAAAAAATGTTTGAGATTTTACTGCCTATGTTTTCTTCTAGAATTTTTATGGTTTTGAGTCTAAAATTTAAGTCTTTAGTCCATTTTGAGATTATTCTTGTGGATGGTGTAAGAAGGTGGTCTATTTCATTTTTCTGCACATCTGTCCAATTTTCCCAACATCATTTACTGAACAGATTGTCTTTATCCCAGTATATGTTTTTCTATGTAGTTTGTGATAGAAGTTCTGCAATCTCCATACAATGAATGCCATTACAGAGAACTCTTTCAGGCAAAACAAGGTAAAGAAATACATTGGCAAGTATGTCAGAAGGTTGGTGTATTTTAGATTATGGACTTAAAAGTGAAAGATATTTTTTAGTTAGAAAAAGTTCTGTGGACAAAGTGAACCTCAGTCTAGGCCTTGAAAGAAGTGACAGTATCACAGCATCTTTAAGGTCATCTAGTACAGTATCTCACAACATATATAAAAGTTTATTAGTGTGTAAACTCCTTCACAGCAAAAACCATATCATAGTCTCATCTAATAAATGTTACAGGTATTAAATGGCAGTTTAGAAAGACTAATCTGGAAGACTGATATGACAGAATATGATGAACTAACGAAGAGGCATCTTGCTGAACTTCCCCTCTCCTTAACCCAAATCACAAACATAATGAGATGGTGCTGATAGACCCACTATTGAACATTTAAACTATAGGAAGGCAAAACAAATAAAAACTTACAAACTGGATTGACTAGAATTAGGAATATCAACTATGTTTATGCAATAATCCAGACCAGAAATGATAAAGCTTTAAATTACAGCGGTATCTCTGGTACCCAAAAGAGAAGAGTTATAAAGATATTGTTGCAAAATTCAAAGGGTGATCAAATATGGGGGCAAAGAAAGAATTAAAGAGACCAATGCTGAGAAAGGCTAACACCATAATATGACTGGCATATTATCAGTGTTGTAGTTGATGTTTGACTAAAAACGTTCAATCGAAAAGTATAACTTCACTCCATTCCTTTCCTATGCCATGTCCATGGTTTTAAATAAAGTTGTAATACTTTCTCAATACTTCATCCATGAACTGTGCTACATATACAATAGAAATCTTCCCCAAATTTCTAACAGAAGCTAATAAATTTTTCCTAGAATGT